CTATAATAATTGACACTATAAAATTAATTTTAACAAATATTAATGTATGTTTCAATTAACTTATTTTATATTTAAAAATAACAATCAAAGTTTTGATGAAAATTTTAAAAAAAATTCTTCAAAATGAAAAAAAATCCAAACATACAAGTAATCTTTCAAAAGAAATCTCTACAGTTAAACTTAATTAAAAAATGTTCCTTCAAATACTCATACAAATCCTATTTTTTTCCGTAAGACATTAAAATCCTAAACTTTAAAATTTTGTTTTTGTAATTTCTTTTAACATCCATTTTTATTATAATTTTAAACCTATTTAATCTAACTAGCTGGTTGCTACCATCAGTACCATGAGATTTGACATGCCTGCAATTTCAGACACCAGAAAGCATAAAATAGTATTTCATTTTTCATTTCAACTCAAAATTTTAAGTTGTTGGTTAATTTTTTTTTTTAATAATTTATATTATTCTCTAACATAACCCCTCACGTAAAAGTTATTTGGGCTTGAAACATGAATATTGTATAGGCCCAATTTTTTTAAATTTTACCTTATGCTTATTTAATTCCACAAGTAAGAATAGCGAGGATCATATTCATAATCTTATGCTCACTGAAACTCTAATATCATATAATAAAGAACTATTTCAATCCAAAAACTTAAAGTGTTGAGTAAGGATCTTTTTAATGATTTATATTATTATCAAATAATTTTACAAATAATTCTCAAGAAACGTTTCTGCTCGTTCCAGAGCAAAAATGGTAGTGGTTTTGAAAGTTTGATGTGAAACAAAGTTCTATAATTTTGTGACACGGCCAAGCATGTTTTTCTATCTCAGGAGAAATGTTTGCTTGACATGTCAAAGTGAGTGCTCAATTTTGATTTCCCGACATATTCACCATGAATGTGTTCCTAAATTAGTGTAGACCGTAGAGAATTCTCAACGAAGAGAAGTAAATTGTGTTTCGTTGTTAGTCAAAGAAAGAGACCCCTAAATTTGTTCCATCACCCTTGAATGGTACAATAATATAAAGGAAGAAAACACAATCTTCCATTTGTCTAGATAGATGTCATTTGATCCACAATGTATTCGAGTCACGTGTCCTTAAATGACTTGTCCAACTTCCAAGGAAAGTCTAGTTATTACTACCTTAAATCTTGATATAAAAAAAGAAAAAGAAAAAACTAAACAGTTTATATAAGTTTGGTTATTAGTTTATTACTACTTTAAATCTTGATATTAAAAAAAAAAACTAAACAGTTTATATATATATATATATATATATATAGAGTTTATGTTTTCTTATATTACATAAGAGAACATATCTCTAACCATAGATACAATTTTCAATGTGATATCCACTTGTAATTAAAAAAGAGAGTAAAAAATTGATTTGAAACTATTCATATGTGTGAATGGACCTCTCACTCACGGCACACATGTTATATATCTCTTTTCAGAGAGAGCATTTTATATAAACAATAGGACTATTGTATATTAGTATAAGTTATATTCTTATTTTATATTGTAGATATAAATAAATTAATAATTAAAATTAGATATAAGACTTTTTATCCTTACACGTAAAATTAATATGACTCATTTTCAATTGTAAAGAAGAGTAAGGTTAATCATAATTATGCAAAACTATACCGTGACTCTTACTTGAAATCAAATGAAGTTACCTAATCAATTTCTAAACTTGGGGAAGAACTACAAGCTTGGCTTTGGTATTTGTGAACAAGAAAAATAATAATATTAGGATAAATATGTAAACAGTACACAAATATTATTATACTGTAAGAACAAAATGATGGAGGTTTCGTGTGGACCACCACGAGCCGATTTTCGCCGACCTGTTCTTATTTAGGGACACCCTTGTGGTGTCGTGGCTTTGTAACGACAAGCATATCCGAGAGTGGTTTTGATGTTTGAAACCCTTTGCATTAGACCGAAAGTGAAAGGAGGGAGCATTACGTGGATACTTTACCTGACACAAACTTGCACTGCTTAGCTCATACGGTTCTCCATTATTAACCCACTTGAAACGCTACCCTACATCTTGGTGTTTCTTAGGGTAGTTTTTATTGTTCACTCAATTTAATATAGCAGGAAGAAAACAAGACTAACCATTTTGGTGATATGCGCTACGAACTATTGTGTGTTTGACCAATATAAAGTACCTCGTCCTTCGATCGATTGTACTCTTTTCTTTTTCTTTTTTCACATAAATACATGCAGGATTGATATCAATTAGAAGATGGTTTTAGATGATTAAGTACATTTAGTTTAGAATTTGGATCCTTATTGTTTGTCGTTTTGGAAGCTGTTTGATAAAGTATGTGATCTGGACACAATCATGAGAACTTATTACTATATTTATCAGATAAATAATTTTATTTTTGGATACATTATCAGATAAATAATTAATCATCTAAGTTGTTAGCCGGCCTTTCGTATTATTATTATTATTATTATTATTAGCGTGATTCTTTAGAGAAGATATATCGTTTGAAAGGAGAGAATATACTTGCAGAAACTTTTCAAGATGGGTAATCAATTTGGACAATAAAAAAAGAGTTAATGAGACAATAATGTTATTTAGAAATTTGTATGGAATTATGGAGGAATGTGTGATGTAGATTTATGCAAATAATATTTTTATTTTAGTTAAAAACAAATTATGCAAAAAAGTTATACGGTTCTTGGATGTACAAAGTTTTATTACTTAATAGTTAATTACATTCAAACATAATCTTTTTTATAAAATCATCAAATTTCCCAAACCCTATGCCTTAATGTGCATAACAAAATAAGGTTGTTTCGGACATTGTATATGCTAGAAATCAATCATGCGTATTCAGATCGAATTGAAGAGTGGTCGAAAGCTGTTTGGGACACAACTCTTGGACCATTGTTTCCCTGTCTATCTAAGTTAAGACCCCTTTCAAGCCTACATAGATACCTAACAGGAAAACAGGCAAGCAAAACATATGGATGTGAATATCATAAACAGTACAAAGGTAACTTTTTCTTTAGATCGAGGATATGGAGTGGTGGTGGGAGAGTAGAGAAAGAGCAGCAAGACACATGCTGCCCACCATGTAATTAAATGATGCCAATATTATAATTATGTATTACGAACATAGTTATTTTTCTTTTTACAGAAAAACTTTTTTTACATAAAAAAAGAATTTATATATATATATAAGAATTTGTATTTATCATTTAACGTGACAAGAAAAAGTTTCCTACACACACAACATTTTGTGGGACGCACATTTTTTGGATAAAAAGAAAAACCTACGACATGCAAAACGAATCTCTATAACATAACACAATCACTTTTCCCACAACATAACTTTTATAAAACTCATATATATATATATATATATATATATATATATATATATATATATATATATATATATATATATATTGAAATAATGTAGGATATTGAAAACCAATTAAATCAATCTGAAGTTCAACAAAAAATAAAAACTTTGTTTGAACTAATTCAAAATACAATCAATTCTGATTTTCTTAATGCTTTTTGGGAAAGAAAAAATCATATGGTACATCTTCTCTACGACAAAGATTTTAATGAAAGACAAATCTCAACCAAAGCTCGTCCTATCTAGATGAATGATGAACTCCTAGTCTATTGTCAAAAGAAAATCTCTGATCTTCTTAGCAAAGGTCTGATCCGGAAAAGCAAGAATTCATGGCCATGCTCTGTCTTCTATGTCAACAAACAAGTTAAAATTGAGCGTAGAACTCCACGGTTAGTTATCAATTACAAACCTCTCAATAAAGCTCTTCAATAGATTTGGTATATGATTCCAAATAAGAAAGATCTTCTTAATTATATATATATATATATATAGGGATTTACATTTCTGCAGCTGTTGTACGTGCAACAATCAAATACTTGTCATATATATACTTGAAAGCATTAAATGCAGGTAATCATAACCATACAAAGGATGAAAGGATTAAATGTGAGAAATCATAACCATACACCTGTCGTTGTTATACGTAAAGCGGCTGCAGAAATAATTTTACAATATATATGATTTAATTCAAATGTTGACGCTGCCTTCTAAAAACTCTACCTGTTATCAAAAAAAAAAAAAAAAAAAAAAACTCTACCAATGAATGGTGGTAATATTAGTAACTTCCGAACCTTCAATCACTATGGTTCTCATTAATCTTTTTTAAATACTCTTAAACAATAGAAAGATTAAAAGATGACAATAAAAGATTAATTGTATTAGCTAGCCACAACTTTTTCCTTGTTACAATTAGCATTCAGTCATTTGAAGAAAAGAAAAAATTAACCAACATCCGTGCTAAAAGTTCTATCTTCCCCTGCTGTTCTCTCTTGAAAACACTTGATCATTATTTACTGTTTATATTTATCTTCATGAGCGATCGTACTATGCTTTAAGAAAAGAAATTGGATGGAACCAAGTGCCTAAGATACAAACCTTATAAGTGGAATGCACAATCAGAGTGAGGGGCACTAGAGAATTTAAGAGAAAATATCTTATATATCAAAAAAAGAAAAAAAAGAAAAAAAAGAGAGAAAATATCTTAGCATGACCAAGTCACCAATCCCTATTTGCCGCACCATGGTACTAACAACAAACAGTTAAACAACTGTTTATCTTCCGACCTCACAATTGCACCTCCTGGTTTTGCAAATTGCAACAGTTGTAAAGGTTGAGGAAGAAAAAAACCATATAATCTCAAAGAGATAGGGACAGAGTGAGTTGAGTAAGTGAAACGTAACCACACACACACACAGAGGTGAGGGAGAATAGAGAGAAATAGATGTTGAAGCAAAGGCTTAGGGCGTGGGACCCAAGGTTGCCAACCTTTGAAAGTCTTTGCAGCATTAACTCAAAAAAGTTTGATTTGAACCCCTTTCTGCTCTCTCATATAAACCCCTCACTCTCACACCCTTTTGCTTGCAAAATCTCCCACGCTTTCCACCTTCTGAGTCTCTGAAGAGTTTCACACCCTCCTTCAAATAATACCATTGAAAACCCATTGCTCTCTGCTTCCCGCTCGCTCTCTCTCCCTTGCTTTTGTGCTCTTTAGTGTACACAACAACATATTTTGAGATGGGTCCATTCAAAATGAAGAGCTTTTGCATCCGACTCTGTTATTAATTTTGATCGGATCAGCTTTAAAAATCAGAACCCAGATTCCAAAATTTGGTCTTTCTTTACAAATCTGATTCTGGGTCCTGAATTGCCTTTTCTGTTTTGTTGAAATTTGATTTCAAATCCTTCTTTATTTCTCCTTTTTAACTAACATACAAGTACCCATCTCAATTTTCTTTTTGTTGTGTAACATAAGGCTAGAAAAGGCTCTTGTTTTTTTGAGCTTTGAGAGAGCGAGCGGAAGAAAAGGTTGTTGGTACTCATGGCCGCAGCAAAGAACAGTGGCAAGGAGGGTGTTCATGAAACTCACAATGTTATTGGTGAAAGTGAAAGCCAAGATTGGGAGATTGAAAAAGGAAAGGGTCTTGGTTTCAGCTCAGGGAGACAGCAATGGAGGAAGCAAGTTTTTGATGAAGTTTCCACCTCACACAAACGCCAAAACCGAAACCAATCATCCTCTGTTCAATCTCCGCAACCTTTTTCCTCTTACTCTTATCCTCCTTCATCAAAAATAGTGTTTCCTTTTGCTTTTGAAGGGTCTCAACATCCAATGCCATTCCCACACCAATTTGGAACCACAAATTCACCTCTTTCTCGTCCACCTATTCAACAAACACAACAAACCCAGCAACAAATGATATCTTTTGGGGACCAACAGAACATGGGGTATGCACCATTCATAGCCCCACAACAACAACACCTTCAGCAGCAGCAACAACATCAACATCAGCTTCTTCAATATTGGAATGATGCACTGAATCTAAGTCCAAGAGGAAGGATGATGATGATGAACAAGTTAGGAACAGATGGGAGACCAATGTTTAGGCCTCCAACACAACCTTTGAATACTACCAAGCTCTACAGAGGAGTGAGGCAACGCCATTGGGGCAAATGGGTCGCTGAGATTCGTCTTCCTCGTAATAGGACTCGCCTCTGGCTTGGCACATTTGACACTGCTGAAGATGCTGCCATGGCATATGATCGTGAAGCTTTCAAGCTCAGAGGAGAGAATGCTAAGCTCAATTTTCCCGAGCTTTTCCTTAAGAAGGATAAGCCATCATCATCCACAACAGCTCCAACTTCTTCTGCAGCTGATTCTTCTCCTCATGAAGTTTCAACATCAAGCCAGAACATTAAGCAACCTGAACCAATTCCTGAAGACCATAACATGCTGCAAGCTATGAACACTGAGAGCTTGCCACCACCAACACCATTAACAGAAGAGAATGCTAACAATGGTGCTGAAACTGGGGAAAGCATTTCACAGTCTCAGGAATTGGTTTGGGGAGAAATGGCTGCTTGGTTCAATGCAATTCCTGCAGGTTGGGGTCCTGGTAGCCCTGTGTGGGATGATTTGGACACAAACAATAATCTTCTCTTGCAGTCACATCTTCCTTTTGTGAATCCAAATCAACAAGAATTCCATGATGTTGATGCTGCTCATAGTCAAGAAGATAACACAGGACCAGGTTCTTCCTCTTCCTCTTGTCCCATGAGGCCCTTCTTTTGAAAAGGGTCAAGATTGAAATCATATCTAAAACTAGCATCTTTTGATGTGCCTTCAGCCTTAATCCTTCCCTAGGTTCTTTTTTTCTTCTCCTTGATGCATACTTTCTTTCCTTATCAGATATTCTACCTTCAACCTTCACATCTTAGGACCACTTTATTTTGTTCTCACTGGTTGCAGATATTTTCACCAAACAACCTTTGAGTCTTGGATCCTTCAAGCACAATTTCATTTCCTGAAAATTTCTGCTGTAATAAGGCTCTGCATATTTTTCTGGGCCTTTCAGCATCTGCCTCATACTTCATGGGCCTTACCTTTGTTCCTAGTGATACTTGTTAGTTTCTGTTTTTGTTTTTTTCTTCTCTTAGCCCTTTAGCACTATCTGTTGTTTTTATTTATGAAGTAGTTGTAGTTTAGCATGACCAGGGTAGAAGGAAACGTTTTTGGGATTTCCTTCTCAATGGTCCATCCCTTATGAGCTTCGTTTTTCAGCTCCAAGGATGGATATATATTATTACCTAGTTTATAGTTTGTTGTGTACATTGTCATGTTATTTGTACTTAGCACTGCTGTAATGTATCGAGAGCTTAAATTTTCACAATTGCAGCATATATCATTGTAATTATCATACTTTGTTTATGTTATTGTTTAGATTTTCTTTCCAAATTGTATTGAATCAATACTATCTGAGACCATTGTTTCTTAAATACAAGCGATGTAAAAATTATTCGGTTAATGATAACATAGTATGAGGCTATGAGCTGTCATTGTTTTAAACTTGAAGGATATACAATCACGGAAAACGTACATGACAAACCTCGTATACGGTCATCACATTTTTCACATTAATTACCCACATTCTCTGTTATGAGGTCTGAGGTTCCTTTTTCGTTCTAACTGTCACTTTTTTATTAGTTCATGCCATGTTTAGCGTAAAGAAAATTTTAAAATTTTAAATAAAACAGTTAAAGATAAACATAACGAACCAAACTTCTCTCTGACACATGTGGTAAGGCGTTTGGATTCCTTAACTAGAAATCTTGAGCTTGAGCCTTGGAATGGAAAAAAATGATTTGGAAGAGCCGTTTCTGAAAGAGTTCGACAGTACTCGATAAAGATTGGTCTTCGATTACGAGGAGAGGATATTCTTGAAATTATTCAAAAAAATAAAAATAAACATAACAATGGTTTTATATGACATGTATTGAATTGTATGATGTAGAGAAAAATATTTTTAGTACAAGTGTGGACCAAAAAAAGTGTGTCACATCTGTTGAAATAGTTTTTTGAAAGGAAAAAAAATATAACTTTAATATTTTATCCATATATTTTTCAGAATACATAATATAAATATCACCCTTACATTTTAATGATTAGTAAAGGTGGCAGTGAAAGTGCTCTCTGTGTAGAGGAAAGCAGCTCTAAAACCAAGTGTATCTAAAATTCTCTAATTGGAGAATTGAGACACTCAACAACTACGTAAACATCGTTGACTACCAATAATTTGGATACCAACGAGGCAACGACACCGTCCTTGTTAGATAGTCAGACTTTCTAGTTAGTACTTGTTTGAGCACCTAATAGTTCTTGAGAGTTGTAATATTTGGCACGGTGGTGGAAGGATTCAAATTCGAAATCAAATTAGTAAAGCTTATTAAGAATTCGGGCAGTGATGAGTATAGAAAAATAAGCAAAATACCCTTTTATTTGTTTTGGCAAGAAGTTCAATATGTTGATAATTTAATGATTAGAAATTCATATAATTTGCAAAAAGTGATATGTTTGAGCCTTAATGTTATCATATTATAAAATATATATTTCTATTCACAGGTTTATTAATTATTCATTGAATTGATATGATTAATAATCTATGTACACAGTAAAAGTTTAAGAATAAAGTTAGCTTATTATAAGGTCAAGACGTGTCAATAAAATATTATCAGTAGAAACTAAACTCAATTCTTTTTTTTTTTTTTTTTAGCCATGCTATTTGATATTGCCACTTAAATCAAATCTCCCGCACAATTTCAATAGATAACACTCGGAAGAAAGGAAATAAAGCACATGCTTACCAAAAAAAAACATATAAAATATCTAAATCCATATAAGGATATATAGCAGGGTTTTTATTTGGCCATTTACTAACCCCACATAATAGGAAATCAGGAATTGTGTCATGGTCATTCATATATCAGATAATAAATTAAAAAAATATTTATCATGTTACCTTAGACAAAATTATTTGATGCATATACAAAAAGTAGATTAAAGTTATTTATTTTTATTTCTTTCTCTCCTTTTTAATGGGTATCACCCACTTCTATATGTATTGCATGTGACAAAATTATTTATGCAACATGAGAAACATATTCTCCTAAATTAAAAAGAGATTTAATTAAATATAAGTACAAAATTAAAACACGTCTTCCCACATCAATTCTCAGTTCTAACAAACAATGTTTTTTCATAGAAAAATTGACTAGATGAGGGCCCAGTCACCGGCCCATGAGATCATTTCTATTTCTTACTCGCGACGGCACGATAGCGATGAGTTTCATCTTCACCAAATTAATTATTTTAATTCAGAATCGTAATCATGAACTTAATTAAATAATATGGTAATGATTAAGTTTTGCTTCAATTTTGTATATATCATTAGGTTTATTTTTTCTGATGTTACTTTAAATAATTTTATCTAAAGTTCATCAAAACGATGTCGTTTTGGGACAAAAATCATGATATTTTTGTAATTTTAATTTATTTCAGGGTTGTAATAGTCTTTATCACTTTAATTTTTTAATTTTTCAACCCCAAAAAGACGTCATTTCAAGAACATTAGATAAAATTATCTAAAGTAACCTCGGAAACTTTTTTCTCATATCATTATTCTTTTTTCAACATTAGCTTGCCTGAAAGACACTCAAACATGAAATAATCTTACATAACAGTAATGAACTAATTTAACTAAAACATAACATTCGACAAATAAAGCAAATCATGGTGTAACTTAATTTGTAACATTTTATAAAGCCAAAACGCCAGAGTATATTACATTTAAGGTATGTACAAAATTTTAAAAATTTATATTTATATAAAGGAAAAAAGAAGTCTCATATTACATTAAATCGCACTGTTGATGCAATTTAATCAGGATAAGTAGGTTCAACCCCTGAAATTAATAGTTAACATATGGAAGGTCCCCGAAAAATATTAAAGAAAATAATTTAAGATTGAAAATATCTAAAGAGTTTGGTCAACCATTACCATAATTTTTTTTTTCTTTCCCTCTTTTTGTAGTTGTGAGCTTTTTTGTTTTAATGAAGGGAAAAACACTTCGGCTGTGCATGACAACTATTCTGATTCCTGACACTGTTTCTGAAAAGAAATGATTCTTTTCTATTTCTGTGCCTTGGAACAATTCTGAGAATCAGAATTACGTTTGTTAACATATTTTATTTTTATTCCGAGAATCATAATTACGTTTGGTAACACATTTTATTTTTATTCCGAGAATCAGAATTACGTTTGATAACACAACAAAAATCTATTTCTTTACTTTTGTTTATAAATTTCATCAGCTGTATAAAATAGCAAATGATAATAGATTGTAACCGAAATGCCAAATTTTATATTTAACAAAATTATCTAAAAATTTATAATATTTTATTATATAGTTTTGTTTTACGACAAATGCTAATATATAGTTTTAACTATTATTTTTCAATCATCTTCACAATTCATATTTTTTTGTTTCTCATTCCCTTGACCATTTTATTTTTTAATATCATATTATTACCTTAATATTAATGATACAAATTAATAAATAAATACATATACATAAGTCACATCACTCAACTAAATTTTCATGACATCATACTTAAAGCAAAAAATAATTGATGTTGCATTGAACAAAAAAAATGACAAGTCTCCAATGTATTTCAAATATGTCTCTTGATTCATCAACATCATATTGGGGGCAATTGAGAATAAATGAGACATGCATCAAAACTCGAAGGGTCATGAGCAGATTGTGAGGAATTTCTTTAAAGAAGGATATTCTCACTAAGTTGATAATTGCAGTCTTCTAGCACCAATGAATATAAACAATTATTAGTCTACCGTAAGAAGCTAGCTCTAGAGCAATCAGCCAGGTTATTATTTAGACATGGTAAAATAATCCAATATTTTTAGATAAACAGGCTATAATGGGGAACAAAACAAAGGAAATAGATTGTTACAAAAATAGATATGAATATTATTATATAACTTCCAACGTAATACGCATTCAGAACTAAGAAGACAAACTTTTATAGGAACATTCAAAATTTAAAGTAATAAAATGGTCACTATATAATATATATAGCAGGCTCCAGAAGACCACAACTGCAGGATCAACTAAATTTGGACTTGAAAAATTAAGCAAGCATGAGACTTTCCGCCCACTCATTTTCTTTCTTTATCCAAGATTTATGTGACACACTACCTGTTTAACATTAACATGTTATTATCAACCCAAAATAAAACACATTGAAGGCTAACTATTCATTTCAGTGACCGATCAATTAATCATAACATTTAAGAATAAAACTCCCAAGTAAGTTTTAAATACAGATTTAAGTTATGTTAACTAAAATACTAAACAAATCAAAGTAGGAGGCTACCACAATTCACAACAAATCTATATTGTTGCAGCTCAGCTCCGTCAAGGAAAACTTGCCATCATGTTTCTGTTCACCACCTTTCAACCATGTTTGAGGAACACACAAAAACATGCACTGATATAACTAGAAAATAAAGCCACAAAATACAAGCTCATGAAATTCCAATCCCTAGCAATGCTTCAGGTCTGACATGAACCACATAATAAGGAACACAAAAGATCCCATCTTCAAATACAAAAAATACATTAAAAAATCACATTTTTATTTATATGAAAATAATTTACCATAAAAAAAGGACCCATTACAGAGTAGGTTACATATAACAAATCCCAGATTCCCAATACTCAACATAGTTGACACACAACACAAAAGAGGATGAAAATTGAAAATCAACCATGCTAAAGGAAAATAAATAAATAAATAAATAAAGTCATTGAAGAATAGAATAGAAGCAAGAAAGTAATAAATCATCCAAGCAAAGGAGAAAACCGGAACATACCCAGATTCGAGAAAATGCTCAGAGGCCAACGTTAGGGAAAAGCAGAAGCAGAGAAGAGAAAAAGGTTTTGCACAAAACCTTCGAATCAAATTTTGATGATTTTGATTTTGATCTCAGAAATATAACCCTATGCTTTTTATGGTTTTTTTTCATAATAAATAAATTATTTTTATGATTGTCTCGGCAAAAGAATGAGATAAACAGATTTGTGTAGCGATACCTAAAACTGAAACTGAGAGGAGAGCGCACAGATACCTAAAATTGAAACTGAGAGAGAGAGGGGATAAAAGAATGAAGTACTTGGATGGTGGCCGAGACAATCGCTGTCGTTGATTTTGGAAGAGAAGAACAAGCGACAAAGATTGAAGGGAAGGAGACGAAGTCGTGAACGCAAGAGATTGAAGGGAGGGGTTTGTTGTCG